CTCTGCAATCCGTTTTTAATGAAGTCGCCTCAACCAGCATCCGACCAATATCCAACAAACACTGAACTTTTCATTAAAGCTGAATTGGAAAAAACACAGTTTTTTGAAAATCAACTATTCAGCCAGAGAGTTGTAGAGGAAAGAAAAAAAAAAAAGGCGAACGTAAAAGAGAAACAGAAAATTAGCTGCAAAAGCAATTTGTAGAGCAAAATTAAATAAATGCAAAAAAAAAAAAAATTGGCAAAAACAAAATTTTGTATTTTTATTTCGATGCAGAAAAAAAAAAAATCAAATCCAAAACATAATTTGAAATTTAAAAATGATTTCTTTGCACAGGGGTTTTGGAGGAAATAAAATCAAAACGATATGAGTACATAGACAAGTAAAAAAGCTGCAAGTTCGACCGGGCCGAATTTTGAATATCCTCCACCATTTGGAACGAATTTGGCAATTCTCAAAAACAATAAAATCCGTTAAAAATTCTTTTAAAATCTTAGAAATACCGAATGTAGCTATGATATTAGGGTCAATACGACGACATGGACCTGCATAGGTAATATTTGTCATAAGCCCTTACAATATTCAAATGCGAAACTTGGAAAAAAATCGTTGAATAATGTCACTAAAATCATCAAAATACCGAATTTCGGAAGGCACCCTTATATGGGGCCTATACGAAGACGTGGACCTGCACAGACAATTTTCTGTCTTAGGCTGAAGTATCCATTACGAACTTCAACTACCAAATTTGACACAATTCTGGCGAATAATGTAGCTAAAATCATCAAAATACTGAATATGGGGAGGTACCGTTATATAGAGGCTATACGAAGATGGGGACCTGCAGAAACAATATTCTATCTTAGGCTGTAGTATCCATTTCGAAATTTAAATACCAAATTTGAAAAAAAACTCCGGTGAATAATGTCGCTAAAATCATCAAAATACCGAATATCGGGAGATACCGTTATATGGGGGTTATATGAAAACGTGGACCTACATGGCCCATTTACGAACTTAACCTGTCTATTGGAAAAATAAACATGTGTGCAAAATTTTAGCCTTCTATCTCAATTCGTTCGAAATATAGCGTGATTACAACAGACAGATGGACAGACAGACGCACATCGCTAAATCAACTTAGAATTTTACGCTGATCAAGAATATATATAGTATGTTGGGTCTGACATCAGTATTTCGAGGAGTTACAAACGGAATGACAAAGTTAATATACCCTCCTTTCCAAGGGTATTTGGGTGAAGAGGCATAGGGAAGAAGGTGAAGGGATAGAGCTTAAATTCAGGTTGGTTTCTGGGGCTTACTATGGAGACGTTGAAATGGTTTTGGATATAAAAATTAGATGTTGGTCCATTGTGCAATAGTTTTCTTATTATCATCCTCGGGTCTTTCGCAAGTTATAAGAGATATAAATATTAACAATGGGACCCTTTTTGAGAGCACCAATCAGGCGGACAGACGAACGGATAGACGTACATTTTTAGACGGATTCCAAATGTCCTGAAACGGATTTGGTTAAAAGAGACTTAGAGTCAAAAACCGTTATTTCGATAAGGCACGTTTTGGCCGTATCCAAAGATATATAACCTATGTAGCTAGATAGCTGAAGGTTTAAAAAATCCATGTTTGTGGTCCTGGCGATTCTAAAAAAAATATCCTTAATTTATAAAAAAAATCCACGTTGGTGATCCGTTTAATCCTTGCCAAAAATATTTTTGAAATCCACGTTAGTGGTTCTTTTAAACATTTTTATTGTTTAAATCCACGTTTTTGGTCCTTTTGGTCCTTTAAAACGGTTTGCGAAATATCCAAGTTTTACGGTTCTTTTTTTCCCTACAATAATATTTCTAAAAAATCCACGTTTTTTTTCCTTGTACATTTTTTTTGAAAATTCACGTTAGGGTCCTTTTTATCCTTGAAAAATATTTTTTTTTATAAAATTCACGTTTGTGGAAATCCTTATATTTTTCAAAAATTCTATTCTTTTTGATCCTTGCCAAAAACCCACATTTGTTGTCTCTTTGATCCTTTCAAAAATATTTTTTTTAATCCACGTTTTTATGATCCTTTGTGGTCTTTTTGATCCTTTCAAAAACTATTTTTTAAAAATCCAGGTTTTTGTGATCCGTGCAAAAAATATATCTTAAAAATCCACTTTGGTTATCCTTACAAAAAATATTTGTAAAGAATCCTCGTTGGTTGTCCTTTTGATACTTGAAAAGAAAAAATAATTTTTTTCAAATCTACGTTGATGATCCTTTTGAGCATTTAACAATATTTAAAAAAAAAAAAAATTCACGGTTTGTGGTCCTTTTTAATTGCTGCAAAAAATTAATTTTAAAAAATCCACGTTGGTTGTCCTTTTGATCCTTGTAAAAAATGTTTTTTACAAATCTACGTTGATGATCCTTTTGAGCATTTAGCAATTTTTTAAAAAGAAATCCACCTTTTGATTCTTGCAAAAAATATTGTTAAAAAATCTACTTATTGATCCCTTAAAAATATTCAAAAAATGTCCCCATTTTAATCTTTAGAAAATATTTTTAAAATTCACATTTAGATCCTTTGAAACTATTTAAAAAACTTCCAAGTTTTGTGGTATTTTGTCCTTTTAAAATTATTAAAAAGAAAAATTCTTTGGCGGTCCTTTTGATTCTTTAAAAAAATATTTTTAAAACATCCACGTTAGTGGTCCTTTTGATCCTTGTTAAAAATTATTTTTTTTAAAAAATCTAGGTTGGTGGTTTTGGTTATCCTTAGCAAAGTATTTTTTCAAAACCCACGCTGGTGGACCTTTTGTTCCTTGCAAAAAATATATATTTTTTTAAATCAATGTTGGTGGTCCTTTTGATCCCTTTGAACCTTTAGCATGTTTTTAAAATATCCAAATTTTTGGTGTCCTTTTTCTCCTGTATTTTTTTTAAATCCTGTTCTTTGGTCCTTGCAAAAATTTTTTTGAGAAATCCACGTAGTTTGATCCTTAAAAAAATATTTTTAAAAAACACGGTGAGTTGTCAATTGGTCATTGAAAAAAAATATATTTTTTTTAATTGTCCTTTTGAACCTTTGTGGTCCTTTCGATCCTATAATTTTTTTTTTTAAATCCTTTAAAAATATTTTTTTTGAAAATCCACGTTTGATCCTCCAAAAATGTATTTAAAAATCCACATTTTGACACTTTAAAAATATTTTTAAAATATCCAAGTTTTGTGATCTTTTTGATCCTTTGAAAATATTTTTAAAATATCCAAGTTCTGTGATCTTTTTGATCCTTTGAAAATATTTTTAAAATATCCAAGTTTTGCGATCTTTTTGATCCTTTGAAAAATGGTCCTGTAAAAATATATAAAATATCCACGTTTGTGGTCCTGTAAAAATATTTAAAAAAATCCACGTTTGTGGTCCTGTAAAAATATTTAAAAAAATCCACGTTTGTGGTCCTGTAAAAATATTTAAAAAAAATCCACGTTTGTGGTCCTGTAAAAATATTTTTAAAATATCCAAGTTTTGCGATCTTTGTGATCCTTTGAAAAATGGTCCTGTAAAAATATTTAAAAAAATCCACGTTTGTAGTCCTGTAAAAATATTTAAAAAAATTCACGTTTGTAGTCCTGTAAAAATATTTTTAAAATATCCAAGTTTTGCGATCTTTTTGATCCTTTGAAAAATGGTCCTGTAAAAATATTTAAAATATCCACGTTTGTGGTCCTGTAAAAATATTTAAAAAATCCACGTAAATATTTAAAAAAATCCACGTTTGTGGTCCTGTAAAAATGTTTAAAAAAATCCACGTTTGTGGTCCTGTAAAAATGTTTAAAAAAAATCCACGTTTGTGGTCCTGTAAAAATGTTAAAAAAAATCCACGTTTGTGGTCCTGTAAAAATGTTAAAAAAATCCACGTTTGTGGTCCTGTAAAAATATTTAAAAAAAATCCACGTTTGTGGTCCTGTAAAAATATTTGAAAAATCCACGTTTGTGGTCCTGTAAAAATATTAAAAAAATCCACGTTTGTGGTCCTGTAAAAATGTTTAAAAAAAATCCACGTTTGTGGTCCTGTAAAAATGTTTAAAAAAAATCCACGTTTGTGGTCCTGTAAAAATGTTTAAAAAAAATCCACGTTTGTGGTCCTGTAAAAATATTAAAAAAATCCACGTTTGTGGTCCTGTAAAAATATTTTAAAAAAATCCACGTTTGTGGTCCTTTAAAGCCCTTGAAAAATATTTTAAAAAATCCACGTTTGTGGTCCTTTAAAGCCTTTGAAAAATATTTTAAAAAATCCACGTTTGTGGTCCTTTATAGCCCTTGAAAAATATTTTTAAAAATCTACGTTTGTGGTCCTGTAAAAATATTTTAAAAAATCCACGTTTGTGATCATATAAAAATATTTTAACAAATCTACGTTTGATCCTCTAGAAATATTGTTGAAAACTACAGGTTTGTGGTCCTGGCTGTCCTTAGAAAAATATTTTTTTTAAAATTCTCGTTTATTTTCTGAAGTATGTCCTGAGGGTCCTTTATGAATCCTATATAAAATTTTCTTCAAAATCCACGTTTGTGGATCCTAAAAACAATGTTTTTAAAAAATCCACTTTTGCTATTAGTTTTCTTTTTCGAAACCTATAAAATACTGTGCCTTACATTAGCTCTCTCGTTACGCTAGAAAATCGCACTCAAAAGCCAATCTTATTAGTAAAACGAAATCATAACAAACCAAACAAGTTTTTCCTCAAAGAGTTTTCCTAAATCTCTTAAAGTGAGAGATCTCGGCACAACGTTCGCTGAAATCTGCATTGCTGCTGTTGCCTGATGTTGGCAGTTGCATGAGATGCAGCAGCGCTGCAAATGCTGCTGCATTTTGACGACTGTCATCAATGTGGTTTCAACTCAGACATTGGGCTTTAATGTTAAACTATGGTTTCAATGCAGCTATCCACCAAATTGGTATAAATAATGCGGCAGAATCCGAATTTAAGACAGTTTATACAGCGTACTTCAATACGGTACAGTGCCACTTAACAACTAACAACAACTCTATTCTCCAAAGAAACGAAAAACTCTACAAAAAATGGCTTTCAAGGTGCGTAAAATTCTAACAACAAAAGGATGGAAACTATCCAAAGGAACTTTTGTGTTGAGATAAGAAATCGAAAAAGAACAATCGAAACAAGCTTCCTTCATACGAAGCCAAAGGACATTGTGAAGCTCATCCCTGGTTTATGAAAGTGTGTGCGTGTGTATGTTTGTATGTAACTATTTTGTAAAAAAAGAGAAACGACGAAAACGTGAATGCTCAGCTAGCTGGCTGGCTGGTTGTGTGAAAATAGCCTCCTTTCTTGTTCGGAAAAAAAGGACACTTAGCATGGAGGGCTCTTTGCTTGTAAAACTCTTCACGTGCTGCTGCGGAAAAATAATGTGAAATACTTGATGCCGTATTTTTTCGGTGCTTTTCTTGTTTTGTTTTTTTTTTTTCGAGCTATTCTCACTCTTGGGTTGTTTACTGTTTTCGGACACTGCAATTATACGCCAAAGGATTTGCGTTTTAAGTTTTTTTTTAGTGTTTTTAGCCTCCGCTAAAACTTTAACGTTGCAAATACATATTTTACCATCCCAAAGTTTACTGCATAATTTAGAGGATGTTTGTGTTAGCAAGGATTCTTTCATTTAACTTTTGCGAAAGAGAAGATTTAAGGTCAATTTGTAGAATATTCCGCTTAAAAAATTATGGAAATTATACAACCAAAAGTGTAGGTTACCAACCCATTCTCTGTTTAGTTGTCTGCCTCCTTTCATGGTTTTGCCACAAATGACTTCTGAAGCATTTAATTCCTAAGAAGTGTTAATTTGGCAATTGCAATGTCAGGATGCTCTAGGAGCTTGTTAAGCATAGCACATTTAACTCATTCATTCGAATTCATTGAGAGAGAGTGAGAGAAAGAAAGAAGGATACAAGAGACTATTCTAAGGACATAATTACAGTTATTTGTATGCCAGGCTAATATGAAAGGGTAAAAATCAGTGGGTGGAAACATAAACCTATTATTTGGGCTAAGCCTGTTTGGGCCAACTTATTGGCCACATAAGGAAGATATTTTGTAATTTTAGGGTGTTTGTAAAACAGGAAAAGAAAACGAAAAGTATTTGTAGGTTCGGTATGTAACACACAGGACCAAAATATCCTTTTAGTGATAAAGTTATACAGAATTATATTTTCCAAAGACCAACAAAGACTCAAATTTGGATTTTTAAAGAAAATTTGTCCAAAACCAAAAAGGCCAGAAACCGCAGATTTTAAAATTAACCGATTGCACAAATTCGGATTTTTATAATATTTTTCAAAGACAAAAAATAATTTTTGGAGTTTTTAAGAATATTTTTTCTACACCAAAAAGGCTTCAAACGAAGACTTTTTGGGCCACCTGAGACATAAATTGATTTTTTTTTGAATTGTCTTCACCATCCCTCAATTCTACAATCCCTAATTTTCAAGAATGCCAACTGAATCGAAAACGTAGATTTTTTAAGAACATTTAAAGGATTATTTCGTCAAGAGAGATTTTTTAGGAATTGTACCAAAAATGCAAAGGATTTTTTTAAGGATCTTCAGTGTCAAAAAGGTAGATTTTGTTAAAAGGATTTTCAAGGTCTGGTGTGAAGATGGAATATATAGGTGCACTACTTCTTGTAGCTCCCCACAAAGGGTCATAATTTCGAATATGCATGAAGCTCATAAAACGCCAAATCGAAGAGAAGATCTCACAAGATCTGTTATAAAGATGGTAGAGATCGGATCATTCCTTCTGGTACCTCCCTCACAAAGAGTCAACGTTTTGAATACGCAATACGATTATCCGGGTCTCTTCATATGTAACACATCCCGTTATTTCTACTAACACAAGATGTGCTGTGAAGATGGGATATATCGTCCATTTCCTGTGGTACCTCACACACAAAGGGCCAATATTTTGAATATCCATGAAGTTCGTAAAACGCGAAATAAACATCGGATTCCATTCAGTCTCAATATTTTAATAAACACAAAATCTGTTATAAAAAGGGTAGAGATCAAACCTTTTCTTTTCGTCGACATCCCGCAATTCTACAATCACTTATTTTCAAGAATACCAACTAAGTCGACAACGTCGATTTTTTAAGAAAATTTTAGGGATTAAGAGCGATTTTTTAAGGATATTTTTGTAAGTACCTAAAATACAAAGGATTTTTTAGGATCTGCAGTGTCTAAAAGGTGGATTTTGTTAAAAGGATTTTCAAAGGATTCTATGTTTAGAAATGTTTTTTTTTCAAACACATTCAGAGCCACAAACGTGGATTTATTTCACTACAAATCCGGATTTCTTCATATATGTTTTCCAGGATATTTAATACCTCAAAGGTTAAGGACTTCCAAACGTGGATTTTTCAGAAATGATTTTTCAAGCACCTTCCACTAATGTGGATTTTTGAGGACCATTAAGGATAAGGATATCCAAAATTTCATATCAAGCTAAATGTCAAGACCAACAACCTTCATATCGAAGCCTCATATTGTAACCATTCTGTGTGCGATGGCGCTGATTCCTGTTGGAATGTCCAAGGTCTGCGGCCAAAATGTTTGCGGGCCCAAGACTTCACCCTCTAGAATATTTTCGCGATAATATTCGGCATTTATTTTGAAGCCACGGTCGATTAATACGAGGGGAGAGTTATGGCGGCCAACACCATCACCATGGCCGACGCTTGAGTTCTGATGGCCAACCGAAGGTGCACATTTTCAGCTCACCTCTTTGGCCAGTAACCACGGTAATTTTTTTTTTTTTTTTTATTTACAAACTACTGAACATCGAATGTTTCCTCATCGGAGAAAATCAAATTCGGCAGTTCTCCACTTTCGGTCAAGCGAAGCAACTTTTTAGCTCTTTTGATTCTATTTTCTTTCTGTTGCGGTGTAAGTTCTTGTACTTCATGGAACTTCAATGGCTTTACCCCGAGCACATTTTTCAATATTTGCCGAATGGAGTATTGCGATATGTTCAGCTCACGAGCCATTTTTCGGCCACTGCGACGCGGGTTTCGATCAAGTCTACTTTTCGAACCATTTCTGCTGATGTTGCTTTTTTTTCCGTCCACTTCCTTGTCGAGCGATGGTACGAGACACAAAATATCTAGTCACATTTAAATGCTGGAGTGCTCAAACGATAGCCACTTGTGGTTGTCCAGTCAAATAAAAATAAATCACACAATCACGCTTGAATTCCTAACGAATAGCATTCATTCGAATTCTCACCAAAATGCTTTTGAACGCTAGTAAACAATTTAATGAGCTGTCACTGGAATAATTTTAACAGCTGTCGGACGAGTGGCTTAGAAATGACAGCAGTCTGTAGTTGGTTGCAGTTTTTTCATCTCACCCTGTATACCCTATCTATGGGTCAAACTGACTGATACTTTTTAACTTTTTTATTATAATTTTCACCAAAAAGCAGCACGACCCTACATGAACAAGGCTGTCAAGACCATAAAGTGTCACCTAGTACTATAGTGGATTTTGACAAAATCCCCATTTCTATGCTTCTATAGATCCTCTGTTACCTCCGGTTCAAAATAATATTTTCGAAATACCCTATATATCACAGGAGACGCAGGAAGCGCCCGAGTTCCTTAAAGCTTTCATTTAATATTTTTATTAAAGTTATTTCCAGCGGGGGTGCCACTGCTTCTCGTATCTCATCCGCAAAGGGTCAATATATTGTAATCTCTTTGGATGTTCTTTAATGTTATTGTATTTGAATTAAATTTTTTCTTTTCTTTTTTTCCGACATCTGATCCAAGTATCTTTGTTTCACACATAATATTTTCATTTGTTATCTTTTATCCATTTGATTGTCCTTTCATTGTTCAAACACAATTTGCACCTAAAGGTCAGCTGTGAAGGACATCAAGGCCTTCGAATGATTGATCTGTGCAACAATTGTTCGTATCAGACAAAAGACAAAAAAAAGCGTTAATAATTATTTATCTCCATATGCCGCATATATAATTAGCAGAGTTAAAAAGCTTTCATTTTCATATTTCCAAAGCCAGAAGCAAAAAAGAAAACAAAAAAAAAACAAGTGAAAAAGCGGCCGAACCGAACTTTTGATACCCTCCACCATTTGGTTGGAACTTGAGAATACAGTTTTACCTTTATACGGAGCTATACGAAGACGTGAACCTGCATACGAAATTTTTAGGCATAGGCTGTAGTATCCATTCCAATCTTCGAATACAAATTTTGAAACAATTCGGGTAAATAATGTCGCCAAAATCATCAAAATACCGAATATCGGGAGGTACCGTAATATGGAAGCTATACGAAGACGTGGACCTGCCCGGACATTTTTCGACCATAGGCTGTAGACCCATTACAAACTTCGAATACGAAATTTGAGACAATTCGGGTGAAAAGTGTCGCTAAAATTATCGAAATACCGAATATAGGGAGGTACTATTTATGGGGGCTACAGGAAAGCGTAGCACAGACAATTTTCTGTCATAGGCTGTAGTACCCATTACAAACTTCGAATACGAAATTTGAAACAATTCGGTTGAAAAATGTCGCTAAAATCATCAAAATACCGAATATCGGGAGGTACCGTTATATGGGTGCTATACGAAGATGTGGATCTGCATACGCAATTTTCAGGCATAGGCTGTAGTACCCATTACTAACTTCGAATACGAAAGTTGAAACAATTCGGGTGAATAACGTCGGGTAACATCATCAAAATACCGAATATCGGGAGGTACTGTTTTATGGAGGCTCTACGAACACGTGGACCTGCACGGACAATTTTCTCTCATAGGCTGTAGTACCCATTACAAACTTCGAATATGAAATTCGAAACAATTCGGGTGAATAACGTCGGGTAACATCATAAAAATATGGAATATCGGGAGGTACGGGCTATACGAAGACGTGGACCTGCACAAACAATTTTCTGTCATTGGCTGTAGTATCCATTACGAACTTCAAATGCGAAATTTGAAACAATTTCGGTAAATAATCTCGCTAAAATCATCAAAATACCGAATATCGGGAGG